CATATTACATGATACATCTACCTTTTTGGGTGGAAAAGACGCTGAAATATACATTCCCTGTTTGACATTCCAGTTTTTTTTCTTCTTCACCCGCCTACCTTTGTGGACTTGTGATGGTGATGCACGTAAACTCCCATCTCGCCGCCGTTGGTTTCCATCACCGTCAGCCTCACAGCCTGGTATGGCGGCGCGCACTTGTGTTGGGCAATTTTGGTGCTCCAAGATGCACACCCACACCCCATGTGATCGACCTGTGCTTCTCGGCCTCTTGCAAGTTGCAAACATGAATTCGTGCAGGCTACTATAAAAAGAAAAACTAAAGACAGCTGCACGCGGGCACGGCCTTCAATCTCTGTGCATGCAGATGATATCGGTTTCAAAAAAAAAAAAGATTGCAGATGATATCACTCCATACATGACGGATACATATAAGTACAGTGAGCACATGAATGAACAAACGGCAAGCCTCGCGTCCGGACGTCCCGCCCTAGGCCTACGTCCGGACGCGGCTCCCGTTCGATGCAACCTCCACGCCCCCTCATATAGGCTACACTAGCGCAACAGGAGAGCGTATGCCCGTCGCGCCCACGTCACCACGCCCCTGCAACCAAACCGTGACGTACGCAGCCCTCTCCTCCTAGCACCCATCCCGCTCCGGAGGCAGCGTCCGTCCGTACGGAGCTCCCTCACTTGCGTTCGACGTACGTAGCTCCCTCGTCCCGTGCCCATCGCGCCCATCGCCCATCCCTCGTTCATATGGATGCCTTGCTGGCTCCGGGAGAGACGATCCAGCAGAAAGGTGGAAGGAGAGATGCAACACCAGATCTACTTTTGAAACATCCAAATACAACGGTTGCAACACACGTCTGAATGTAGTTGAAACACTTGAAACATGCTTATGAAACACTTGAAAAACACACCTGAAACACACTTGAAAACCATTGCAACCCATACGCAACATCCGAATAAAACACATGCAACATACGTGTGAAACATATGCAACATCCAGATAAACAAAATTGCGACATGCATCCGGAAAACACAGACGAAACATACCTCTGAAACATCTGAAACACTCGAAACATACTATTGCAACATGCCTCTGAAACCAATTCAACATATGCAACATTTCTAATCTACTTTTGCAACATTCATATGATTCAACCGCAACATACCTCTGAACGTCCCAAACAATTGAATATACAATTGCAACATAGGAAAGAGAGAGAGCACGATGCGGGAGCTCCATGGCCGTTGGATATGCAGGCATTGGGGGCTCCGGTGCCGAGCAGGGCCGTGTGCCCGCACCGGATCTGCGCCACGCCGGGCTGCTGTCGGGGTCGCGTCCGTCCCCCTTTTGGGTTGCCGGCCGGAGAAGAGGAAGGAGTCGCCACAGTGGATCGAGCTCGTGCTCTCGCTGGGGGCCGCCGCTACTGGAGCAAGAGGAGGAGAGAGGGAGGCAATGGGGCGCGCGCTCATCATGACGCTGCAGGGGGGTTGCTGCGGCTCGGTAGAGAAGCGTTGCGGTGTGGGTGTGGCGGGTGTGGAGATGCCGCGGTGAGGGAAGAGAGCTTTGAACGAGCGGGTGCGGAAATCATTATCGATGAACAAACGATTCCCTGGGGCGGTACTGCAATCACGCATGCCGCCGATTCTCTGCATGCATATAACTGTACAAGTCCAGACGAATGCAGTGAGCACGCACTTGTATCGTGTGATTGCCCACAAGAATGGACCGGCCGGCCGGCTGGGCAGAGCTGCCTCATCTTGACATGGTCGCGGTCGTGGTCGGCCTCTCCTCACCGTGCGAAGAGTGCAATTAATGCACCCGTACCGTATGTTGCCCCGGCAGCACACCCATATGTCTACGGAGTACTCGACTAGCTAGGGCAGCTAGCTGTTAGCTACTATTGCAAGATCAAGATCACGTCGAGGATAGATGCCAATTGAAGATATTTTTTGAGACATCACTACTCATTAGTGCCGCATGCAGTGGAGTAGTAGTGGACCATACATGCATGTGACATGCCCAGCTTGATCGATGATCATCACCAACAAGAAACTGCTACTGGAGTAGTACTACAGTACGTACTGCAAGTAGCTAGTGCCACCACTGCTTCCATCATTCTTGATCTTGATTGCCTAAAGTTCTTGTTTATTTGGTAGGCGCTTGTTGCCTGCCATGCCAAGGTTGGCTCCATGCTGATACTGAGCTGCTAGCTATAAGAAGGCAACCTTGGCCAAAATCTCCACAGGTCGCCACAGCTCTTCAGCTGACACTCATTGAGCAAGCTAAACGGCAAGCAAGCATCTACTAGCACTCTAGCAGCTCAGCGCCGCTCGGTCGTCTTCAGTAGCTAGTGAAATCTTGTTCATTCAGGGTCCTGCTTCCCGCAAAGAAGATAGCATAAACTTCTGCAATCAACCAATCATCAACACACACACACACACACACACACACACACACACACACACACACACAGAGAGAGAGAGAGAGAGAGATGGCTGTGTGAAAGCTGGGACAGCTGATGACGAGGCTGCACCTGGCGAGGAGCCGACCGCCGTCGCCGTCGGCGGCGGACGTGCCGCGGGGCCACCTGGCGGTGTACGTGGGCGAGGGGCGGAAGCGGCTGGTGATCCCAACGGCGTGCCTGAGCCACCCGGCGTTCGTGACGCTGCTGAAGCGGGTGGAGGACGAGTTCGGCTTCGACCACCGCTGCGGCGGCCTCACCATCCCCTATTCCCCTGCGCGTCGGAAGGCGACTTCGTCGACATCGTCAGCGCCGCCGTGGACGACCACCACCACCATCACCGATGAGTGATGAGTGATGATCGTGCCCGTACGTGCCGATCGAGTCGGTCGATCGAGCTCTGATCGTTAGATTCCGCTTCCAGTTCCAGCTAGCTAGGACAAATTTTTTCTTGGAGCAGCAATAGTATTGGGGGTTTGCTTGACACTGTAAAGATTATGATTGGAAATTGGAAGAAGCTCTTTTCTCACCCAGGTGTAGTATCAGAAATCCGTAGCAACTGAAATGAGATTCCAAGCCATCAAAATTCAGGAAACGTTTATTACATACCTTGTCTCTTCATGTGGGTCTATTTACTACTCCCTCCGTTCTAAATTTAAGACGTTTTGACCGTTCTAGATACATTATTTCTACCATGTATTTAGCCATAGTGTATATCTAAGAGCATATATAAAAACCATCCATGTATCTAAAAAAACCAAAACGTCTTCTAATTTGAAATGGAGAAAGTAACTTATAAGCTGCTTATGGCCAAAATAAGCTAAAACTAAAAGTTAAACGGTATGTTTTTCTATAGTTTAGTCTGGCCATGTCTATTCACACCACCCCATTTCTACTAAAAAGTAAGAACTAGCTCAGACCTGCTTATTCTGACTATGCTTTTATTCCATTTGTGCAGTTTTTTTTGAAGTGCTTCTCTGAGAAGCGTATATCTATATAAACCAAGCAAAGCCTATATATATGATCCGCTGACCTGCTTATTCTGACCACACTAGGTTTTAGGGCCTGATTGGTTGGCTTCCAATTCTTGTCCAATTAAAACCATGGCATGCCAAAAATTTTAGTCATAAATTGGTTCATTGCCAAAGAATTGGCACACCGATGTTTATGACCAAAGTTTTGACAAGTCTCTAAAAAGCTCTTAAACTGCATAAAAGAGAAAATGTGCCTCCTATTATTGTTATGACGGTCAACCAAATGCACACCTATATTTTTTATCCTAACTTTGGCAACCTTGATTTTGACAAGCCTAAGTTTTGGCTTGCCATGATTTTGGTAAGGCAAAAATTGATAGCCAACCAATCAGGCGCTTGCTCTATTTGTGTAGCTTCTTTAAGAAGTGTTTTCTTCCTGGAGAAGCTATACCAAACAAGATCTATATACCTGTTCGGTAGCTTGTTTTCATAGCTGTTGATGCTGCTGCCTCTTCTCACAGAACACTGTTCTGGCAGCCAGCAGCAGCTGTGTTTTACAGCCGTGGCAAAACATATATGCTCGGCTTCACCACCTAAGCCCTCTGCAGTGTAAGGCCTAAGTGATGCCTAGAATGGAGAGAGATGATTGGGGGAGTCACTCCTACACGCTGTGGCTAGCGGAGCCAAATTTCAGTGATGCCGGGAATTCTGGGAGCGGAGCGAGTACAGGCAGCTGTGCCTGCTCAGTAAAAAAAGTATTTTATCGCTCAAACCCGCTCAGTCCATGCAGTTGCCATCGCCGGCGTGTGCCTGGTTTCCCTCTTTTTTTTTTTTTTTTTTGCCATGTGGGGCCGGTAGCAATGCCTGGTTTGCTTCTGCATTGCAGCAGATGGAGAGCGATGCCGTTTTTCTGTGGTGGGACCCAAATTTTTATTAGGCAGCACTAGCACACTGGAGAAGGCCAGGGTGTCCTTCTCAAGAACACAAATCCCCTCCTGTGTCAACAACGACGACCTATCGTTGTCCTCAGAGATCAAGCTCCCATTGGTGCGCATCATGAAGCCAGGTGGAGCAGCTGCCAGTTGGACGTCGAGCAGAAGCAAGGTTGAATCCCAGAGCATGCACTGTAGACATGGTCACCGACGGTTGATGCTAAGCTAGACATGGTTTGCCATGACCCGACATCGTCGTTAAGTCTGTTTTGTGACCCTCAAGGGTAATTTTAATAACATGCTAAAAAAATTCAGAGAGAGGAGTGACCTCTCATCCGGTACGGAGTATATATAGACAATAAAAACACGGCTATTCTTATTTGAATTTTGCAACCACACGATTGGAATCGAACTTTTGCTACATGTGTGTATTAATAATAATTGTAAACATATATGCATCGCGTGTACGACGTGTATTATTGTAAACAAAATGAGAAGAAAAAAATGCATGCACGAGTGTGGCAATCATGAACAAATAGGTGCTTATCTGAAACTTATATTAGAGCATACAACAACATGAAACTTATATTAGAGCATACAACAACATGATATCATAGGCAGCATTAGCAATGGCGCTTGAGTGAGAGAAGGGTCTTAAAGATGCCGATGAGCACGCCGGTGACAGACAGGAAGGCGGCGATGAACTTGCAGTAGTTGTAGACGAACTTGTACGCTTTGATCCTCACCGACCTGTGGCGCTTGTACGAGTCAATCTCCTCCAGGGCGGTGAAGTAGCGGCGGCCGAAGCGCAGGTGCTGGCCGAGGCCCTTGAAGAAGCCCAGCGCCTGCTTGTTGCTGAGGGCGCCGTGCACCAGGCCCCGCCGCCGGAGCTCGTGCACGTCCTCCTTGCGGTCCATGAGCATCGCGAGCACCGACAGGTACGAGCTCACCACGAAACCGTCCGTGTCCCTGGCCGCGCCGGCGGTGCTCGCCTCCAGCGCCGCCATGTTCACGAGCCAGCACGCGGTGACGTCGCTCAGGAACACCGGCGACAGCGACAGCTCGCCGTACAGGCAGCGCCGCCGGAGGCTCATGTCCCCGAACCAGACCTCCGTTCTCGGCGTGAGGACGACGCCCATCTCCGCGAGCTCCACGGCGCTGCTGGACCACGACGACGAGACGCCCGTGTAGTTCTTCTTATTATCAGGCATACAGCCCACCTGAGTAAACCTGAGCAGACCGAGGAGATGCGGCGGCGGCGGCTTGTGCTGTTCGGTGCTGCCGACGACGCCGCGGCTTTCTTCATCGGACGGCCGCGTCGTCTTGGCCAGCGCCGTCGGGATGCATCCACAGCGCATCCCCCGGCGGCAGCAGCGGCCATCCTCCGGCTTCCTTGCCTTCCTGGGGAAGGGGAGGAACTTGTCGCCCATCCCGGTGACGAACCCGCCCACGTCGACGAACATGAACTCCGCGAGCGCGTCGAGCACCAGCCAGGGGATCTGGTTCTCAAGCAGGAAGATGTCCTTCTGGATACTGGGCCCCGTGGACAGCGTCATCCGGTTCTGCAGCACGAGCGCCGTCGCGTCGTGCTCGACGTCACCGCCGGCGACCATGTACTGCAGCAGGAAGCAGCCGTCGAGGAACATCATGGCGGCGAACTCGGCGTCGCCGAGGCCCACCACCGCGGGGTCGTCGGCGTCGTAGCAGCCCCGGGCGGCGCCCGCGACGGAGCGCACCTTCTCGTACACCTCCGCGGTGGAGCGGCCCGAGGCCCCGCAGAGGTAGTAGGCCGCCGCGAGCTTGACCTCCTCCATCTTGTGCAGGTGCGGCGCGCCGTGGTGGTACGGCCCGATGGCCACCACGCTGGGGACGATGTAGCGATCGTTGTCGCCGCCGATTCCTCGCAGGCTGCCGGGGAACCGGTGGATCTTGCTCTCCACCTTGGAGAAATCGGCCTCCAGCCTCGCCGTCGTCGTGGCCATCCTCTCGGCAATGGCGGGGAGGTCGGGGACGTCGTCGTTGATGAGTATCGTTCTCGTGTCAGTGACGTCCATGGCGCCAGGATTGGGATTGACGGGAAACTGGGAACAGTCATTTCGACATTGCCGTGCACACGTACAGCTAGCTTTATATGCATGCGTGCAAGCAAGAGTCCAACAGCTGTCAGATACTCAGAGTGATCGCTGAAGCATGCATGCATTGTTCTTTATCATCCCTAGGATCCTTTGCCTAGATTGGTTGCCTAACTCTGATTCCAAGCAAGCGTCATTGTGAGCCCTTCTTGGTTTATCTTCATCACCATGGCTGGCTGGCGCTGCTGGTCTTTTTTAACACGCACACATACACACTCTCCCGCGTTGCTAGAACTGATAAAAGTCTTGGATTGGAAGCATCCACAAGACGTGGTGTTCAGGTATCTGAAAGCTAGCATCGGTCGCCGGTCTGACTTCTCGGCAACGCCAGGAGGAGGATGCCTGCCTTGCCCTCGCGCGGTGAGTGATGACAACGACCTGGGACATCCATATATTCCTTGGTGAGCATCACGAGGCCATATATGTGAATGATCTCGTTTATGTAAGGTAACATCAACTTGCCAGCTTACTCCCTCCGTCCCGTTAAGATTGTCGCTCGGGAAGCGGGATTGTGAGGGGGGCACGGTTTTCCAACGACAAACTCAATGGGACGGAGGGAGTATATTATTATTTTTTAAAAATATATAAAATAGAGTAACCTAACGTGCTAGTATAGAAAAAAATTGTAAGCAAAGACATGAATCATAGAAAAGTGTTTGGGCTTAGCTCTTCATGGAAAACTAACTTTATTCTCTCTCCTATTTACTCAATAAAATATTTTATGAGCTAGCTATTTTAACACTATTGGAGCTATAGAATTCTTTTTTGCGAAGTAATTAATCTAAGAACTGAAGTTGTGTTTATATTCACTTAGGGGCATTTTGGTTGGAGCCTTGGAACTAGGCAACTTGACCAAGCATATATCTTCACCCCGGATCTCCGAAAACCATTGTCTGGGATTGTTGCCTGGCAGACAACTTTTGCTAGCTCCAAACCAAACAAACTTATTCTATGTCAATACATGTCCAACAATTTTCTTACCTTGTTATGTCTGATTGGATTTTGTTTGTAGCACGTGGGTGGAAATCTAATTCATTTAGGGCAGTCCCAAAGCTAGAAATCACATTTAGTTTCTATTGCCATTAGTTTCTATAGAATAAATTTTTTTATCTAATTACACATCTTCTCTCTCCATCATCTACCTATTACATCTCTTCATGTCTTGATTCTTGTGTAGACATGGTTTCTTATATCTAATAAACTATTTTCTCATCTCTCTTCTTTAATTGCAGTGGCATGTCATCTTTTTTTGCTTAGTTGACACTTGAATATAACAATCATCTAGTTTCATGGTTGGAAATGGTTTTACTTATCTTACCGCTGCACTTGTAATACACAGTTGGAATGCTGCTCATGGTAAAAATTCACGTTGAGGTTTGATCGATGGTTAAGGGGGATTTGCCTTTGTTTATAGTAAGTCTAACGTAGAAAACTTAGTTTACTGTTTTCTCCTACCAAATGGCCTATTAGCTCAGTTGGTTAGAGCGTCGTGCTAATAACGCGAAGGTCGCAGGTTCGAGACCTGCATGGGCCAGGATTTTTGTTTTTATTTTTTCCCAGGTCTGATTTTGTTTTTTTAGTTTTGTACTACTGTTTTCCCCCTGTATTTTACTTTCTGTTTTGTACCACGTCCCCTTTTGTTTACTTTCTGTTTTTTCCTGTTTCCTCTGTACTTTTTTTTTCCTATTTCCTATGTGTACTTTCTGTTTTGTACATCATTCCTTTTGTTTACTTTCTGTTTTCCATTTACTTTACACCATCCATTTCGTTATTGCGGAACAAAAATAAAATGTTATTTGCTCATGCCAATATATATGAATATAAAAAATTCCTAAAAAAGGTTAACGAAGATCACCTTAAAACAGCAAGTGCTGAGTGGCATATAAAAATAGCCCAGGTACTCAATTGCCCTGTTCGCTTGAACTGCTTATCAGCCATGGTATAATATTTTTCTCTCACATCAATATAGTATCAGCTGGTATCAGCTGAACAGCTTGAATAATATTAATTGAAAATCATTTTATACCTATTTTCTCTACTATGTAATCATATATTTTTCCCTTTGTTTACTTTTTGTTTTGCACTACTGTTTCCTCTACTATACTGGATAATTATATATTATTTGACGTACCACTTGGATGAGCCATTTAATGTTTTTTGTTTCTTTTTAATTTTTGTTTTCTACTACTCTTTCCCTATTAGATAATTATAGATTTATAGTCCCTCCGCCCTATAATATAAGGGATTCAAGCGACTTTAAAATAAGAATAAGAAGACTAACAAAAGACCACCTTGCCCCTCACTAATCAGGAGGGAGGGAGTAGTTCAGTTGTTATTTTCTTTAATTAATGCCGGTTGTCTTAGGTGACGCTAAGTTTAAAAGGGATCTCAATACTTAACAAAAAAGACAGAGGAGAGGAGGGATTGAGGACACAGAATACCTTATGTTTATGTACATATTTTGAACTTTTGATCTTTTATATTACAGGACTGAGGGGGTATTTGAGATGCCGATTTATAGTGTTGATGTCATGGAGAAGTTAATCAATGTGTTCATATTAGAGAGTTTTTTTTTCGTTTCCTTTTGTTTACTTTCTATTTTGTACTGCTGTTTTCTCTACTATACAAGGTAATTACATATTATTTTACCTACCTACGTGCATGAGCCATTTTAGTGTTTTCCGTTTACTTTTCTTTTTTACTTTATGTTTTCTACTACTGTTTTCCCTTCTAGGTAATTACATATTATGTTTGACATACCGATTTACATTACATTGCTTCTATCATGGAGAAGTTAATCAATCTATCCCTGGTAGAGAATTGAACTTTACTCCCTCCATCCTGTAATATAGTACATTCTAGCATTCAAAATTTATTCTCAAATATAATGCATTCTAGTGGACAAAAGCCAATTTTACGTTAAATACTTTCCATTTATCAACCAATCACCATTAATCACGTTGAACATAACATTTAATTAGGAAATAAAATGTATTTTATGTTCTCTTTTAATTTGTCTTAAAATTTTTAGAATGTACTATATTACAGGACAAAAGAGTAGGTTTTACGGCATCGAGCCATGTGTTATCTGCTCATTGCAAAAAGGCACTTCAGACTCCGTGATGGGTCTTGCATGATCTGGTCCTTCAGCTCCTACTGCATGCTTCATTTGGCATAGGTAGAAACACTCTCCATATGGCACTGCTTCTACAACAACTGTGAAGATTTCACAGCACCCCTCACAGAATGCTGAAACTGCAACCATTTAGACGTAGACTGAACCAGAGCAACACAGTTCAAGCGCTACAAACACCTAGGTTAACTTTGAAAATTTGAATTACTACCAAGCTAAGCAACATTGAAATGAAATTTAGAATAAGATTTGGTTAGGGTGTGCCAGGCCTTGCCAACAGTGCAACGCAGCTAAGCGACACTTGAGAACCCTAGTACTATAATAAATCCTCCGCCAAAAAAAAATTTAAGAGTAAAATGCACCGGAGGTCTATTAACTTTCGTTGGGGTGTCATATAGGTCCATCAACTTTGAAACTGTATTTTTGGTCCATGAACTTTAAAATGATTCACTGCAGGTCTATACACATTTATTTAATCTTAAATCCAACGTACATTTGTAGAAAACCCCATACCTTTCTCGTGCAGAAACAGCCACGGCCACAACCAGCACCACGCGCGGCCACGGGCGCAGCGGGACACTGGCACCAGCAGCAGGAGCAAGAGGCTAGGCTGCTCCGCACCGTCCATCTGCCAGAGCAAGAAGGACGGATTAAGCACCAGCCTTTTGAGGACACTGCCACAAGGTGTTGGTCAGGCACGCAGCTTGCTTGCTTGCTTCCTTCTTGCTGGTACTTAATGGAGTACAATTGAATCAATTAATAGAGTTACTCCACGTCAGCTCCTCCGCGTCCAGCACCATCTACCAGTACCACCACGAGGACGGCGAGGACAGCGACACTAGCACCGACGCCGGCAACGACTCGGACGGCGCCAACGAGGACAAGGACGCCGAGGCGCTCGGCGAGGCCACGCAGGCGGAGCAGCTGCTGCCCAGCGGCGCGGGCAAGTTCCTGTAGACCGACGGCAGCATGTACGCTAGAGTTCACGTGGTGTGGTTCCCCATCCAGGGCATGGGCAACCGGATGCTTGACGTTCGGCTACGTCGCGCACTCGCTGGCTGGGCTGCGACCCTAGCTGCTGATGCTGCCAGACTGGACTACGCAGAGGGCCGCCGTGGCTTGTGTTAGGCCAGCGTTGGTGGAGCCATGCCTGCACTCGCCGCCGACGTGAAGGACGGCACCAAGGACGGCGTCTGCAGCACCTCAGGGGACGCGGCCCGGCCGCCCACGGCTGCTAGCCCGCGCACGCGCACACGCGTCGGTGGCTACGGACATGCGCTGCCTCGAGTTCCGCCCTGAGAGGTGGCTGTCCGCCGACGGCACCAGGTTCGAGCCTCACGACTCGTACAGGTTCATGGCGTTCAACGCCGGCCCGAGGATATGCCTGGGCAAGGACCTCACGTACCTGCAGCTAGCGAAGCCATAAAGACGTATGTACAGTGCAGCTATTCACTAACCATTCTGCCTAACCCAAGCGACATAGGAGCCGAGGTGCACCGAGCGACTCCGACGTACTCGCACCCGCTGCTGGTCGTGGACGTCGGTCCAACCCGGGGCCCAAGTACCTGCTGTCATTGGCGCACGTGCGCGCGCTCCTCTGCGTGCTGGACAAGCTGTTGCGTCTCCCGCTGGCCACGCTGGCCCGCGCCGCCGTCGACGCTGAAGGTCTGCTGGACGGCTTCCTCGTCCTGGCTAACGCCTTTGGCACGTTGCTCGCGGCACTGGTCGCGCTCCGGCAGCACGCGCGGAGCTCGTAGGCGAAGAGGTTGTACGCGTTGATGTGGATGAG